TATGTTGTTGTCTCTTATACAGAAGTTGTATTCCTATTGTGTCTGTCTATTAGAGAAGCTGAAAGCCTGCATGTAAGACATGTAACCAGTTTGAATGTGTCCAAGAAGCTGCATCCTGTTGCCTTATTATGAGCAATTGACAGTATCATGGCTACATGTGCACAATATATTATTTTGCAGACGTTTTCCATTATTGTTTCTTTCCTACTTTGAACTTCCAACGCAATAATAGACACTGCTGCTATTATGTCAGTATTTTTCTATCATTAAATATGTGTTGGTGGTGATAAAGACTTTCAGAAAAGCGATCAATAGGCTAGCATAGGATAACCATTGAAACAGACATACAGTACACATCATTGCATCTCTATTAAATGCTTTCTTGGTTGATTCCCTGCAAGGAACCGACAGGCTATTTTGTTAACAGGCATTAGCCAGCATCAGGAAAGAGGCGTAAGCACAGCAGGGTCCACATGTTCAGGGTAGCTTCACTTCTGATGTCTGTTAAATCAGTGAGACGTATGTTTCTTGACATGCTTAATAGGATGTTTTTTACTCTTGCTTTCCTGTTGCATCAGTGGTGGAAAACAAACGGTTTTTTATACTTGAATGCCAAGTTTATTCCACAGCCCAGCCTGGATGACCTCAAGGCTGCAGTATTTCATGTTGATTCCCGTTAGATAAACAGCGTTACCAGTTTGTAAGTTGCCTCTTGTTTACCCTGCTGATTCCCTTACGCCCGGGGGGCTAGTTGCTTAGACCATATTGGAGGTGCCATTGTGCTTATGAAAGCAATTTCCACGTTAAGTTTGGAAGTGAGTTTCGTACTTTTTTCCACCGTTAATAAAACCCCTGGTAAGGCAGCTTCTTCCAGTTTTTTAGGGTTTATGGTTTATTTCAGTGAGGAAGAATAGGAGTAAAGATATCAAATGGAGGAAGGAAGGAAGATACTGTAGCAACTGTACATGGGCTGTGTGAAGAAGCACAACAGAATACAGTCTTTTTTACATTTCACCCTGCATAACTTACCTTACCTAATCGCCTTATTCTAAGTGAACCTATGTTGTCTTTATTTTGACTGAAAAAGTCAAACAGGCATTGTCACCATGCTACCAAGGTGTAAAGCACTCACCTTTCTATTGAAGACAGCCATTGTTGAACAGTGATATATTCTTAGTCCTGACACCGACAATTAACCATCTGAAAACACAGTGTGACAAGGTGTACTATTGCTCATGCTAAATTATGTACTGAGCCACAAGCTTTTGTAAACTTCAGCGCCAATTCATCTCAAGAACCACTTTTGTTTGAGAGCTTAATCGTTTGCTAATTAGCGTCCTTGCTAACAGACACTCTCAGTGGAAATATACGATTACATAGCCCATCGACAGGCTCAGTAAACAAAGACTGTTTGCCAAACTGCCAACACAGTTGTTGTAAAGCTGGAGAGGGGCAAATCTATCATTTGTTTGTGTGTGTGTGTGTGTGTGTGTTTGTGTGTGCAGCCTACTGTGTGTGACTGTGCATGCATTTATGTGAGAATGAGTGACAGAAGAAAACAGAGAAAGTGAGACACAAGGGAAAAGGGGAAAACAAGAAGTGTGATTGTTGGGCACATTTGGATTTCACTGTGTGCCTCTCAGTTATTGAGTGTTGATTTGAACCAGATTTGAGTGAACATGTTGGTTTGTTCGTAAGTGACAGTGCTGAGAGTCTAGACAGCCTGAAATAGGTGACCTCAGACAGATGGCTTGGTGCTGCAAAACTGAGAGAGGTGGGTGGACTGAGAGACGGAGAGAAAGAAAAGGAGAAAGGGATAAGAGGTAACAGAGGAAAGCGAGCAACACAAGTGATGTTATCTGACCGATTTAGGCATGTTGTTTTTACGACCAGTGGTGCAAAGTAACGTGTGATCCCTTCCAAAATAAACTATCCAGTAGTTCGTATATACTCATACATTTCAAATGTAAATAGTCTTTTTTTTAATGTGAACTCTAGACAATACCAGGAGAATCAGGTCCGCACATTGTCTGGAGTTTCCCTTTCACACATTTAGCTCACAACAGGAGTGTGTCCGTGAACCGTGAGCAGCTGTATTCATACAAGGGCTCGGGCATATTACTAACTATGGTTTGGCAAAGTCTGTTTGATGTCGTGTCAAACATTTGTGTTCTTACATACAGCTCATCTGGAGAAATGCAGATAATATCAGAGTTGAAGCTGTTTCACCAAAGAGACGTTACCCCACTAAACTTCACTGATAGTTTCATTTAAGGCTCCTGGTCAAAGAGGTACAATTAAATCTTAATGTTCACATCACAGTGCATTCATTGTTTTAAATGGTCCTAGTACTCCTTCCATCACTGATGTAATGTTATTGTACTGATGGAACTACAACAACTAACTTTCTCCATCTATGTTTCACTATTCTTCCTCCTAATGCTCTTTAACTTGGTCCTGTGGTCTGTGCCATTTCAAGACAAAAGGCTTGGGAGATAAGAGCAAGAGGGAAATGATTAACAGAAAAATAGCAAACAGATAGTGTTCACAGGTAGAGCTTGAGGGAAACAGTCAGGTGGCAATGTAGAACTAATTCTGCAATAAGATTTGAAAAATAATATGATGATTTGCCTAACTTCTCTCTGCCTCTTTCTTTCTCTGGATCATATCATTGCTCTCCTGACAGAAAGTGTGCTTTTCTGTGATGGAGTGTAACATGCCGGGGCTTAGTTTTGATTGTCACCACAGGCCCACAGATTACATGGGGCCACAGTCAATGGGAAAGGAGCTAAGTCCTCTAGAATGGAGTACATCTACAGCCTTCAGCCAGCATGACTCACGGGAATCTAGCCAAATTGGCAACCTGCTAGCAAGGCAGTTACTAAGACAGAAAGACAGGTGTCACACCAATAACTCTACTTCTGTGCTTCCTTTCCCTCCTCCAGAAGGAGACTACAAGTTGAAAGAGGATGTAGAAACAATAATTAATTAATTGACACTAAGATCATACAATTACTCATTTTGATTGATAAATTAGATAACAGTCTTGAACATACCATGGTATGATATGATATCATTTTGGTTATCTATCTATCTATCCCCCTCATCAGTGTCACTTATGTCTCCCACCCTCCCTCTAATGACAGCCTCTGTCATGTTGAAGCCACACTTGCCTTTCAGTGTTGGCAATTAGGATGACCACAGATCATTGAATCCATGCACATATGAATATAATGACACCACATATCATCTGAAGCATCTGGGAACGTAACAACAAACAGATGACCCAGACATATATTTACAAAAAGATTACCCTTTAGCCTCTACATCTCCACTTCTCTCTCTGCTGTCTTCCTCGTCCTTCCTCCTCTTCCTCGTCACTCCGCTATCCTCTGGAACACATGGTTATCGCTTGCTAGCAGTTGTCATGGTGATCGACCCCGGGGGACTCATCCCAAAACCAAAAGTTCTGCTTGTCTGAAATAGAGACTCTGCCTTTCTCCAGAGGGAAGGGGGTTCATTTGGTACATGCGGAGACAGGGAGAGAGGAAGAGAGAGAGAGGGGGAGAGAGAAAGAGAGAGAGGGTGAGGGAGAGGGGGAGAAAGAGAGAGAGAGGGGGAAGGAGAGAGAGAGAAAGAGAGAATTAGGCAGTGTGCATCCATTCCAACTGGGTCACATCACGGGAGCATTGCGTAAGCATAAACACTGCTGCCCCTGTGCTATGCCCTAAGCGTTTTCTAACACACTCACAGATATACACACACACACACACGCACACACACACGTGGTATGTCTTTCCAGTGCCTGCTACTGTCTGGGAATCGAGTGTTTGATACGTCAATCTGTTGTGTTTTTTTTGCACCAAGCTGTGGTCCATCTCTTTTCTCTTGTGCTCTTCTTTCTCTCAGTGGATTTGCGATAAGTACATGGTGACAGTGGACTGAACCCCCCTGTCTGTTAACTGCCAGACTGGACAGCAGCATGACGTAGCACTTTTTGCATATCCAAAAACACACACACACAAATACACACATACACACATACACAAACAGCCACAGCGTTTTATCTTTTCAGAAGGTTATGTTTCTGCAGTCATCGTGACCTGTGTTGTTGATGTTTTGGTAAACATTCCAAACCGGCGTCATTCATGATGGTCGGCAATTCATATCACTGGTTTTCTCAGACAGTGAGGTCTTTAAAATAATTCAGGTGTTGATCAAACTTACATGTGTATTTGTAACAGGTCATCAGGTTTATCCGACACTGAACTATAACTACATTTCCCAAACATTTTCTGTTTGTATTGGAGCAGCGTTACTCAAAGCATATACAGGAAGCTGTTTTTTGCACCCTCCCTGCGCATGCTGGGTGTGTTGTTTACAGGCCCTCCGTATGCTTGTCTGTTTCCAACATGCTCTTCTCCACACATGTTTGGAGATCTTAACACCTTTGTGAATAAACACCAATGCAAATGCAGTTCATTTTTGCGAGAGTTGTTTGCGCAGTGCGCTGTGTGTGCATCGGTAGAGGGTGTGATTGACTATAAAAGGAACAGCCAAAGCCAGTTGTTTAAAATCCTAGTTGGACGGTTTCAAATCCCCCCTTGTACTGAGAAATGGGAATAGAGAGAGTGGGTGCAGGTGTGTGTGTGTGTGTGTGTGTGTGTGTGTGTGTGTGTGTGTGTGTGTGTGTGTGTGTGTGTGTGTGTGTGTGTGTGTGTGTGTGTGTGTGTGTGTGTGTGTGTGTGTGTGTGTGTGTGTGTGTGTGTGTGTGTGTGTGTGTGTGTGTGTGTGTGTGTGTGTGTGTGTGTCTAATGTGGCTAGTCAGGAGAGTATTTCCAATCAGGAACAGACAGACAGACAGACTTCAGAAAGACAGGGGACGAATATACAGTGTACCAGAGAGAGAGAGAGAAGCAGGGGGTGGAGCTACGTGTATGGAGGCGTGGCCATGTAGCTGTCACTCACTGGTGGTTGCCATGGCGAGCGGGCGGTCCTGAACAGCGGGACATCCAATGAGAGACGACGCTGCTTGTGTCACCATGGTGACGGGGCTGTGCCCAAGGAGGTTGTGATGGGTTGACAGGTGCGTGACAATCGGAGCTCTCTGCAAGCATGTACGCCAAAGGCAAGAGTAGCAACGTGCCGTCCGACAACCAAGCCAGAGAAAAGTAAGTTTTATTTATGGGGGAGGAAACCGCGGCTGTGGGGGAAGTTGCTAAGCGGCCGGGGGGAGACACACACCGAGCTGCGGGAGGGGGGGGGCTTCACTCTGCGGTGTGGAGCTCTCCGCTCTGCAAGGCTTGGAAAGTTCATTTATTTAGAGGAATATGGACATTTTGTCAGCGGGTTTTTATTGTATGGCAGAGGGGGTTCAAATGTATTACTGCCTCAATGATTAATTTAAGGATTTTGTTCTCCTCTTGTGCTGTCTTTGTGTGTTTGTTTTATTTAATTTTGGGCGAGCGTCTTCATTTTTAATATTCATTTGTAATTGTGCGTATTTAACGCTTGTTTAACACACATGTATCCTAGTAAACAGTTGCGACATAGTGGAGATTTTACCATTTATGTAAACATGTGGAGCGAAACTATACGCTCAGGACCGTGTGTCGGCGGAGGAGCGGCAAAAAGTCCGTGCATCTGTCCGTGTTTTGAGTTTATTTACAGTCTATGGTTGTGAGGTGTCGCTTTTCAAAGAGACTATCTCGTGTTTTAATGCACGCTGGTTTAGTCCAGTGACAGTCACCGAGATGTCATTTGTGACAGGCAGACAGTCATGTTGTCTCCACATTTGCCGAGACAGACACAGTCTATCGGGCTTGTTTTTAATAGTTGGGCATAGATGATCTGTATCGCTTTTTTATTAACATACGCAGACAAAGATGAGCGTTTTTTTTAAATGGAAATGCTTGTCATGGCTGTGCTATCCGTTTGTTGACAGACATAAGAAAAAACAGTTTGACCCAAGTAATGCAGTTATTAAGCCTTTTTTTCTTATCAATCAAGAGTTTTTCATTGTAGAATTAAGTCAATTTTAGGGGTGGACAGGTCAGTGACAGTTTTATTGGAAATAACAGGTTGTTACAAACTGGCCTAAATGTACACCTTGCATTTGCTTTGTTGCTTTTCAACACATTGAATCCACTGTGTAGCATGACAAGTAAAACCTAAACTGGATGCGCACAGAACAACAGATCCTGTGTGAGAGTGCTTTGAGGTGAAGACCCTGTTCAGATGCATTCAACCAGGCATGGCTGCTCACTACTTTTGTGGATGCTCTGGGTCAAATGAGCAATGACCAGGGCCATATCTGCACCCGCTGGGACGGGTATTTACTGATGATATGCCTTTGACTGTGTCTGATAAGGGATTCATAGAGGGAAAGGGGTTATGGTATAACAGTAGATTAATATTCTCACTTCTAGCCTACTTTATTTTGTCGTTTAAATCCAGTTTGCTCATGTTTGTCAACAGTGGGTTTGAGTAGCTTCATCCCTTGAGCCCCATTATGTATCTCCCAATCGATATGATGGGACTGAACGGCTCTTCGCTGCCTTATTGCATGCACGCACTGACAGATGCAAAGATGGAAACCTTCCACCAGGCTTGGTAAACATATGTAAGCACATATGTGTGTGCATGTAATGTACTATGAAATACGCAGATACTTATTATTCTGTTAAAAGTGTTTCTCAGAGTCCCTTGACAGTTAGCCAAAGCAGCTCAGTTCACCTATGATGAAGATATTTTCAGACATGCTGAAAAACCTGCTGCCTACAGACATTACATTGTATCGGGCAAAGACATGTTTTCTGCTAAGTTCAACATTAGTGGACCCATGGCTTTGTGGGAATGAAATACGTTTGTGTTATGAGTCTTAACATTTCAGCCACGGTTTGTTTATTGTAAATTAACCTTGTGTTGTAATCTGATTATTGTGGTCATTAAATCTTTGAGAACAATACAGGCTACATATTTCCTGCAGTCACTAAACTTCCTTCTCTCACTGCCTGGCATCACATTTAGTTTAGACTTCCTTGTTGTTGCAGATCAATCCGTTATCTGTGTTTACATTTCCAGGCGGGAGTTGATGTTCCATAGGGCGTCAATGCCATGGCCACAACAAAAGAAAGGACTGGGTGACAAGAAAACACCAGATGAAAAGGCTGTGAAAGGAACAAATAAGACGAGGCAGAGTTTCATTAGTCTCTTAACAAGCAGCCTTGTTTATCAGTGTGTGTCGGAGAAGAGCAGGCCCAGTGCAGCCGAGGCTTCAGTTGTTTCTCATTTATGCAGCGCAGCGGGGGATCAGCGAGTGGGAGAGACGGAGGGCAACAACAGATTCGGGGAAAGAAGAAGGAGGAGAGAGAGCAGGACTGAGGGAATTTTCTGGATCATTAGTTTACACAGTGTTGTAGTATTGACCTCATGGACCCCCGCAGACACGGGGCTCCTTCTCGCCCTTGTAGATGTAAAGGAGCTCTAAATGCATCTAACCTCTGTGCAGGAATCTGATTTGCGCAGCATGTCTTTGCTGCAGATGATGTTGGGAGCACACTTTTTGCTTCAACAGGTTATAATAACACAGATTTTAAATGGTTTATCCTGTGCGTTACAGTTTGCATACTTTAACATGAAAATCGATATAGAGGGATACAATTATTTGGAGATTTAAAAATAAATTAGCATTTACAAAAAAAACGTTTTTAAAGATGCAAGTTTCAAACATGTAAACGGTTTTTTTTCTCTTTCTCTTTAAGAAGTGTATGGTCTTTTACAGTGTCCCCTTTTTATGGTGTCTGCTACATTCGTGATATGTAAAAAAATAAAATAAGGTATTCTACACAAGTGGCTTCCTCTGGAGAAGTGCCTTACACTTGAATTGTCTATATTATCCATTTTCCTGGCAAAAGAATGTTCTAAATTGCTCATTTCAAGTATTATTGTAAAAATACTATGATGATGCAATAGTTATGATAAGGTGTATTTCATCATTAGAAAGTAGTTCCAGTTGCAAGTTGGCAGCAAGGTATATGCTAAAGTAAGGATCAGCAACAGGGCCTGCAAACTACAATGAGAGCCAAGGCCAACTGCATTCACTTGCTCCTCTCATCGTCCTATTTTACAAGTTGGAAACAAATTCTTCTGACTGGTTTGTTCAGGAGCTTTAAGTTGCAACGTGAAGAACATGGACATGAAAAGATGGTTTTTTGCATTTATTGCTCTGAGCGTTTAAACAACAAGTTGAAAGTTGTTTCCGTAAATAACTAATTTCCCAGTTACTCTGACAGCACATAAATGCACCTCCAACTTTTGCTGTGTTGATGGAAGTTAAACATTATGCAGCTATCTTTAAGAACCACTCCAAAATGTGATGGTTTCTTCCATTGCTACACCCTTCCAGTTTCAACTGTCATGAAAACTGGGACAGTCGCTTTTCCTTAATCCTGTGACAGAGTGAATTTGAATATGAAGCTGTCTTAACACCTACTTCCTGAAGTGAACAACCTCTTTGAGTCTTAGACAGCAACACTGTTCAGCTCTCCTCTCCCTCTCTCTCTCTCTCTGGCTGTACCTGTGTTCGGTCTGCTCTTGATTTTGATTCGGAGTGACAGTACACGACCACTGACTGTGTACTGCAGTTGTTGAGCGAGTGTAGGTTTCGGTTACTGGCAGTTAGAGGGTACATTCCACATAGCTTTGGAATTGTGGTCCTGAGTGAGTTGCATTGCAGCACATAGTACATATTCCTTTATTCTGTGTGTGTAATGAATCCTGAGAGAAACACTGCTTAAACCCCACAAGTACTTTATCTCCACTGTTTTGGGTGTGAGAATATACAGCAAATGAATGGTTTTGTGGAATTTTTCCAACCTGTTTTTTTTAAGTCACAGTTGTAAAAACTATAGACATTGTTGTTATTCAGTCTGTAGCTCAGGTGCCAAATATAATTCTGGTGCAGACTCGAGCATCTCTAGTCTGTAAGGATCATCATTCTGCACACACACACACACACACACACACACACACACACACACACACACACACACACACACACACACACACACACACACACACACACACACACCACACACACACACACACACACACACACACAACACAACACACACACACACACACACACACACACACACACCACACACACACACACACACACACACACACACACACACACACACACACACACACACACACACACACACACACACACACACACACACACACACACACACACACACACACACACACACACCACTACTTCTGAACCGAGACACCTCAGAATCCTGCCAGGAGGCTGCCAATGCAGCATTGCGCAGACTGAGGCAAAGCAGTGCATGCTGGGAGTGTTTATCTGACTGAAGCAATTCAGGCTGCCACTCTGACAGTGAGTTGCATTACAGGAGAACTACAATAGAAATAGAGCAGTATCTTCACTCACACATAGCGTACGCTCACAATGCCTAGCACCGACTGTGCAGGGAATCTGATTTTTCCACGCCAGCTGCCACCCGATGGATGTAATTGATGAGTTTTCTGCTTGTTTACTACATCTCAGTGTCCTTGAGAAATGATAGGGGCACACTCGTTAGAGGAAAGAGAGAGTTGGCCCATTTCTTAGAGCATGAATAAAAGAATGTAGCCAGGGGATAAACACATGTTACCGGTCAACGTGGCATGTGAAATGAGCAGCTGAGTATAACAAAACGAGCAACAACCTTAAAACTCTTCATGAGCTTGACAGTTGAGAGGTTAAAAAAAGAAGTAATATGAAAGAAAGATGTAAAGGGGAAAGAGAGTTTCTGTGTCCAGGTCAGAAGAGGTCAGGTGATATCCTGCAGGAGTTCATGGTCTAATGCTCCGTTATGGCTGTGTGTCGGACCTCTGCACTCTCCATGCATCGCTCTCTCTGTGGATCACTTTACACTGGTAAGTGGCCACACCTGGTTCTGTTGGCCTGAGTCCAGTGAGAGAGTAAAAGCCCCAGGGAGAAACCCCTTCACCCAAACACAAGAGCCACATGGTATGCCTCAGCTTTAGCTACGTCAACAGAGAACAATATGAAGGTGTGTGATAATGTGTGTGTCTCTGAACTGCTTTGGGTCAATAGTGTGTAAGTCTGTAAGCCCATCTGAGCTGTCTGCTTACA